CACAGATCAAGGGCAAAAAATTTCCTGGGCAAAAATATTGATCCCATTGTTCGAAGACAAAACTGAAATCATTCTTATTTGCAGTAGCAACAAGGATCAAAGTTTTTTTTTTTAATTGCAATGCCTGTAATACTGTGGTCACATGGAGAGCACATACCTGGATTTTCATTTCATTTCCTATAGCAATTCTGTTTTCAGTTGCCTTCCCAACAAGCCTCCTAATATCAAAAGTTTCTGGGGAAGAAAACTCCACATTCAGTCCTCATATTTGCAGGAATTTCCAAAACTGCTGGGTGATTCAAACTTTCTGACACTCATTAATTTTTAATAAAATGACTGGCAACTTTTCATTAAAATATTAACGTAGCTTATTTAAGGTATGTAAATTGCTTTATAGTTATTTTGCAAATTTTCTAGTAGAAATTTCATTCCTGCATTTGTGGGTTCCTCCTTTCCTTATAAGACAGTATCTGCTGGGTATATTCATTGTTTAGAATGTCTTTTCTCTACAGATATGAAATTGGGGCAGAACCAGAAGTTATAATCTCAACATACAAATATAGACACACACACACACACGGAGAGAGAAGGACATTTAATAACATTTATTAGATTTCTTGTGATAAAATTTAGAGATGTATTCCATCATCATAGTACCATAATATTCTCAGGCACACAGTTTGTAGCTCCGAAAAAATTCTCATTACCCATGAAAATAGAAATAGAAATAATTCATTTTTTTCTTTACTTTCCATGATATTTCAGGATTACTATTCCTTGAATAATCAAATATTTCTCGATAATCTCCTTATATTTGTCCTGAATTTTCCAAAAGAAAATGAAATTGTCCTGCATTTTATTTTGCCACAGTGCTTAATTCATTTAATGCATTCTAGAAACATATAAGTCTCTCATATCTGGGCTGCAAAAATCTGAACAATCGCTAATTGAGAGCACAGAAGCAAAAATGGCATCTAATGGTCATCTGAATTTTTGCATAGTTTTATGATTGTTCCACATAATTTCAAACTACAAGGGTCTATAACAGTTCCAGTAGTGCTGATTCTTGCATCTGAATTCTCTCACTGATACTTTGTTATCTATAAACAGTATACATTTTAAATTGCTTTTGCTGCACCTGCAGTCCTATTGCTCCTATTTCTTTCATTTCTAATTCAGTGAAAATGTTGAATAACTTTGGTGTTAATCAAACATATTTCAGGTTGGTAACTGTTTCTGTATAATTAGCTCTGTGCGATTCTGAGACTTCTTAGGAAAATACCAAAATTGGTACATAAAGATAAATTCAGCTAGGAACACAGCCAAATAGAGGCTAGGACACAATATCCCTGGTAGTTTACCCACCTTTAGATCCCATGCACCTACTACTAATACAAGAATGCATTGTATGCTCACTGAAATGACCTTCTACAGCAGGGGTGGGCAACTATGGCCCTTTTATGAATTATGGACTTCAACTCCCAGAATTCGGTTGCCCACCCCTGTTCTACAGGCTTGAAGTATTCTCCTTGACACAGAATGGAACAATCCTGGATCAGGCCAATCCACAATTTATACACTGCAGCCTCCCATAGTTAAAAAAAAAAAAAACCTCTTACAAATTATCAGATTAATCTAAGTCAAAATAACTATGATATTCCAAGCCATATAATATTTTGTAACCCATATTCCACCACCAAGGAAAATGGTAGTTCACTTCCCACTACTATTTTTCTGTCACTATTATTTTCCTGATCTTTTTCATTCCTTTAGAGACAGTTTTTCTTTTCTTTTCTTTTTCAGATAAGTTTTTTTATTTTCAGTATAAACATACATATTTTATGAACATTGCATTAACTGGGTCAAGTCTTTTTAAGCAACAATAACAATAATAGTAAAAATAGGTATAAGTAGTTCTAATGTAGTTCAACTTCCACAACTTCAACAGGGCTAATAATCTTTTTTCAAAATCCATTTCTCATTTTCCCATTAATTCATTTATACATAAAAACATTTCTTTGTGCCTTGTATTTATAGTCCCTAAATACTATTTTTTAATATTTTCAAAGAATTATTCATAGTTCCACCATAACTTCAATATTCCAAATGTGTAGGGTTAATAATAACGCTAAATACTGACAATATTCAATCAATCCCAAGAGTGTATCTCAAAATCCCGCACAGTTCCTAGTCCTTAATTATTTTAAATTCATAATATAAGTTAACACACTATTAATATTGATAATACATCTTAATTACCTAATCCTAAATCCCACCTACTGATTTATTTGGATTATATTATTAAATTATATTTTCTATTAGTATATATACTACTATTTTCCCTGTATATATTTCCCCATTTTATTGAAATGTTTTCATCCATCATCTCTTGACCTTTTTGAAATTCCATCGTTTATTGATTTTTTAATGAACCTTTTCTCTCTTTCTTGGAATCTTGTATCTCTTTTTGTTTTTTTGTACCTACCAATTTTCCCCTTCTGAGTACCTTTTATCTCTTTCTTCTGCTGTATTTGAACTCCCATCAACAAATCTTTTTTATTTTTCTTAAGGATATTTTTTTTCCTTTTCCCTCTATTCTATTATAAACTTTTATGGGGTTATGTCTTCGACTTATTAATCCTTTCTCCTCTTTATTTTTAACTTCTTGCGAGAGACAGTTTTTCTAAAGAATAGAATCAGTGTAGAGGCTCAATCTTTCTAAATTCTTTCCAAGAGTATTCAGAGGCCTTTTAAATCCGTCCCTAGAAATTCTTCCTTTGAATTTTGTAGTGATAAACCCAGAATGCTTGTTTATTTATTTTTGTGTTATTAATATGTTTCATATTCTGAAAACCTGAACTGTTTTCAATAAGTAGACAAGTATGGAGTTAAACAGATCATAAACAGAATAGAAATAGAATAAAAACAATCCAGCCCCTCTCCAAATATTAGTGAAGTTAATGGCTATGGAAGTCAATCATACAACGCCAACAGTTTCAAAGATGCCTAAACACAGGGGCCAGCATCATAAGAGGGAAAGACATTCCAGAGAACAGATGCTTTGCAAGAAAACCTCAACCAACTGTCAAGCTGCAGGTTGCAGAGCAGAGAACAGGGCCTCACTGGAGAATTGTAAATCTGTCTCCAGGTTGGTACCTGGAGACAGATTTAATTGAAGATTAACTGTTTCAGTTTAGTAATACCAGCTCTCTGGGTGAATACTAGGCTGGCAACCAGCACAGAGATGCATGCATGATAATGTTCCCTATTCAGGAGCCTAGTTGATGAACTGTAGGTTCCAGAATATTCCAAAGGAAAGCCCTAGAAAGTGGATTATATTAGTGAGTTTTGAAGTTACTGATGCCTGAATCTGTGTAGCCAAGCTATTTTTATTCAATAATGGGCTCTACAAAGATCGGCTGTTCGAGCAGCAATGACAGATCTAGGAAGCCCTTCAGAATATGAACTTGTTCCTTCAGGGGTCTACAGTTCCCTCCAGAATAGGGAATACTTTTAATTCCTATTCCTACCCAGGAGCCATTGACCCACAATGCTTGTGTTCTACTGACGTGGCCCTTATCTGTTTTCTACGCTATTGTATTCAAGCAACAATTTAAGACTTGCATGGCCTGTCCTGATCCCAAAGTCACCAATTAATAGAGCTGGGATGACACCGTACCCCAAATGTTCTCATTACTGTATCAAACCACTTCATAGGTATTATAGATGACACTGTAAGTAAATTGTGTCATTCCAGAGAAAGACAGTCGGGAAGCCAAACTACAATACTGTATCTCAATGTTTTGCTCTAGAACAAGTTGCTGGGAGTACATAGCAGCACTCCAGCAGTTCCTAATCCACAAAGCCAATACAGACTGATACTGAAATCAGTGGTGATTAAATATAGCAGAAAAATCCCATAGGAGAACAGATTGAAAGCATTTTCAGAATGGAAAAGGGAGGTGATGTATGATGAATCATGTATTATAATATCACAATGCAAATTTTGCCCATTACATAGTGGTGTACGCTGTTACATTGATATGTAACTTTCATGTAGACACAACAAAAAAAGGGGCAGATGTTATACTATAGCATCATGACACGTTTTGTCATTTTGGCACCATGGACAGCAGTTGTTAGTATGTCCATACCATGTCCATACTGATTATGTTCCTCTCAAGGGAAAGTAATCCATCATATTAGCCAAGGGAGATTCTCTTATGATTAAGCCAGAACAGAACTCAGACTGAAGTGGATCTAGAAAATCAGTACTTATTAATAGTTAATAATACACTTTGGAATTTCTTCTTTTAAAAAACAAGCAATGCTTACAACAAAACAGAAATTTATGGGCAAAATTTATTTTGAAAGCTGGCTAGGTTGTATTTAAATTTTGGTTCAGGTTATTTAATATACAATTCATTTGAAAATACATTATGCAAAGAATTTTGGAGCCAGCTAACTGCAGAAAATATACAAAATGTATAAAGCCATCTGCTAGTGTTCCACCATTGCACTTTTTAAAAATAATAGGACTGTTGTTCTCTTAACTGTCCTCGTTTTTTTCCAGAGTGATTTACGTAGGATCAATGTGATGAAGCTTTAAAAATTAGGCATTTAAGAGAAGGAGGCAAATTTAAAATATTTTTTATTTTCCTCTACAGTGTCATATATCTCTATATTTTATTACATCTGCACTGCTCTGCTCAAAAACATTTGCTACAAGCCTGTTTTTCTAGAGAGGCATTTTCACGCTCATGACATTTTCCATCTATATATTTTCTTCAGATTATGAATTTGATAATAAACTGCATTGAATTCAAAAAATTCATTTCTCACAAATATTCACATTCTGCCTTTCTTTTCATCAAAGAATAATCTAAAATACTGTTGTGTTCATTGAATTGTTTTCTTTATCAGTCAAATACACTTCTTTTCTGTCCTTTCTTTTTTCTTTCTTTCTTTCTTTCTTCCTTTCTTCCTTCTTTCCTTGACAGGTCATGGGTTATAGGTGCAATAGCTCTGCTCTGCCTATTGGGACTCACCTGGGCCTTTGGACTTATGTATATTAATGAAAGCACGGTGATCATGGCGTACCTCTTCACCATTTTCAATTCTCTGCAGGGAATGTTTATATTCATTTTCCATTGTGTTCTCCAAAAAAAGGTAAGGATGATGCGATGTTGATTTTGATGATGGTGGTGGTGGTGGTGGTGGTGGTGGTGGTGGATCTTTTAAAGAAAGCAAGTCAGGTGCTTAATATCCTAATAACAACAACATTTTTAATATATACAGGGTCTTATATTTTGCACTTGTTGCGCCTTGGCTTTTAATTGGTTTGCTGTTCATAGAATGTGTCTGAACCTCTGATAAAAATGAACAGTTATTAATGATCATGGAGCATTTCATTCAATGTATATTATTTAGAAATACATTTAAAAAAACAATCCCTCTGAATTTCTCTCAGAATAGTACTATTCCAATTGATTTTACCTTGGCAGCAGTGTGGCAACTTTTCAGGAGCCAGGGTGTTGATCTGGCTTTTGTAGTAGAAGCTTTTGTGATAAGAGAGAACCAATCTGGTGTAGTGGTGAAGGTACTAGGCTAGAGACTGTGAGTTCCAGTGCTGCTTTAGCCATGAAAGCCAATTGGGTGACCTTGGGCCAGTCCCTCTCACTCAGCCCAACCCATTTCACAGGGTGGTTGTTGTCAGGAAACTAGGAGGAGGACGTTGTGTTGAATATGTTTCCTGCCTTGAGTTATTAGTAAAAATAATAATGCTGGGATATAAATAAATAATGAAATATTCTTGAAGAACTTGCTTTTGGCAGATACTAGTACAACCTGGTTTCATCTGTTCCATCCAGATAAATGCAGAGATGGGGATTTTGTTAGCCATCAAACAGTATAAATTTTCGGTTTCAGTTTTTTAGGATCAAAGATCAGCCAAAAGAACTTTCATTTCATTGAACATAATATTGGTGTACATTAAAATATTGAACGTGGGGTGAAAAGTACATTTTGAACTATGTGTTTTGAGACTAAGTAATCCATAGCAATCTTCTTTAAAATTGTAGATCCAACTTTTGTACAGGTAGATACAGAAAATTATAGGCCAGAGAGTTTTAACATATCCTGGATGAATTATTATTAATAAAATAAGTAAGCGTATAGAAAGTCACATCTTTTTAAACAACAGAGTTTTTCTAGTGTTAATCTTACTTCACAACATTTAAAACTGCTTTGAATGTCAACAGTGGATGTGATCTACATAGGTTAACTTTATCCATTGGAATTTGAATTAATTGTTTCCAAGTTGTTCCAGTGATTCGAATGTACCTTTTCTTTAGGTATAACTGAGAGTATTTACACCAAGACAAATTCCTTGTGTGTCCAATCACACTTGGCCAATAAAGTATTCTATTCTATTCTGTCTATTTAGGCTTCAAAAAGACTTTGACGAAGTCTTTCACTAAAACTCTAGAGTAAATTTAACATCATTGGGATAAAAGGAGAAGTTTAATTTCTGAGTAACTGAACTCAGTGGCTTGTGGGTTCTTTCTAACTCTTTGATTCATTGAAGTCCTTTAATGGATTGCTAACTAATTAAAGAACAGGGAAAAGAAAGAAGGAATTAATGGATAATTTCCATAAGGTGGAAGTATCCAAAGTGAGGTCTCCTAAGGATTTGCAGTGAGATTGCTTTTTAATATATTCATAAACCACCTGAAATTGCAGATGAGCAATATGGCATACATCTCCAAAATTAATCTTTCCAGCCTGGAAAAGGGACTTTAAAATGGCAAATGTAATTCACAGTAAGCAAGCAGCAAGTGATGAAGTGCCATCCAGGGCCTTAAAATTCTTGGCAATGTACCATATAACAGCATGGAACCTTTAGAGGATTAGAAATATTTCTCCAATGCTTCCTGGAATAGCAATATGTCCACACAATAATGCACATTGAGATGGTCATTCCAGGTAGTGAAGAAAAGAAAAAGCAAACACTTAAAATGGACATGATGAGAAAAATGTGAGTGGAATTAGTAGGGAGATTAGCAAGGGAGTTCCCAGGGGAGACTCTTTTGGAGTGTGTACCCTTTCCTTTTTCTTTTTACCTATCTTCTTCTTTCGGTCCAATCTAATCTTCATCTAGCATTTCTCTGTGCTCAATACCACAGGAAGCAAATAGTGAATACTTATGTGTGAGTTTGGCTAGAAGAGTTCATAGGGAAGAATCCAAGTAACATGGACAATGACCTGAAAAACAGATAAAATTGACAAAAATATAGCAAAAGAGAAGGTGAACTTGCATTATATGTTAAAAAAAACAATCACTACACCTGTACAGAAATGCATAAAATCAAAGATGAATGGTAAAACCTTGAATGCATATGGATTAGTATAAAAGGAAAAAAGAATGACATTGCCATCCAACCAAGCAGAAGAAATAGATGAACTTTTTTGCTAACCTGTTAACTAATGTATGTAGGAAACATACCACAGTAGTAATGGGGGACTTTAACTACCTTGACATCAACTGGGAAACAGACTCTGCATGACATGGGATATCGAACAGGTTCCTTATGAGCCTAGCTGACAACTTTGTCATCCAAAAAGTAGAGGGAACTAAAGGGTCAGCAATATTGGATTTAATTCTTACCAAAAGAGATGAAATGATAGAGGGGGTTGAAGTTGCAGGAAGTTTGGTGGAGAGTGACCATGTCACATTTGAATTCAATATAATGCAGACACACATAATAGAACCAAATCAGACAAGTATCTTAGACTTTAAAAGAGCTGATTTCAACAAACTTTGAGCTTTCCATGGATTAAAATATTAAAGACAAAACAACTCAGGAAATTTGGGAAACTCTGAAAAATGTTATTATAAAAAGCCAGTCCACCACAATACTGTTGAAAAAGAAAAGTAGTAGTAGAAGAAGAAACCAGCATGGTTGTATAAAGAATTCTCTGATAAACTAAAAGAAAAAAGGAATAAGTATAAAAAATGGAAAGAGGGACACATAACTAAGACAGAATACCAGGATATAGCCTGAATCTGCAAAAATGAAGTCAGGAAAGTTAAGGCTCAGAATGAACTAAGACTTGCAACAAATGTCAAAAATAATTTCAAAAGTTTCTTTCAACATGTAAAAAAAACAACAAGAAAAAAGTCAAGGAAACAATTGGCCCACTAATGGGAGAAGATGGCAAGGAAATGTGAGTAGCAGGGAGAAAGCAGAGTTGCTTAATTCATCCTTTGTATTTATCTTCATGCATAAAGAAAAAAAAATAGCCAAACCTACCAAAAACAGAACCATAAAATACAAATTAAAATAGGCAAGAAAATGGTGAGAGAAAACCTGTTTACCTAGATGAGTTCAAATCACCAGGAACAGATGGATTACCCAGAGTTCTGAAGGAGCTGGCAGACATGATCTCGGAATCACTGAACTATATCATTCAAAGTTCCTTGAGCACCAGGGAACTATCAGAGGACTGGAAAAGAGCAATGTGGTTCTCATTTTCACATGCACAAAAAAAAGAGGGAGGAGCAAAATGGATCCAGGGAACTGAAGACCAGTCAGCCTAACATCAGTACCTTGGAAGATCCTGGAAAAGATAATCAAGCAATAGATCTGCAAACACCTAGAAGCAAACAAAGTTATAACAAGAAATCAATATGGTTTGACAAAAACAGGTCGTGCCAAACAAATCTTATTTCATACTGAGACTGAATTAGTGAACCAGTGAAATAATGTGGACATAGTGTACTTGGATTTTGGTAAGGCATTTGACAAAGTGGACCACCACCTATTTCTTTGTAAGTTAGAAAATGTGGGATAGGTGGCATCACCACCAAATGGATTTGTAACTGGCTGACAAATTGTAGTTAGCTTGTAGTCCTTAATGGAACTACATCTACATGGAAGGAAGGAAGCAGTGGGGTACCCCAAGATTCTGTCTTAGGTCCAGTACTCTTCAATATCTTCATAAATGATTTAGAAGGGAAACTCATCAAATTTTCAGATGACACCAAGCTGGCAAGAATAGCCAACTCTTCAGAACACGCTCAAGATTCAGAAGCATCTCAACAGGCTTGAACACTAGGCTCTATCTAACAAAATGAAATTCAGTGGTGATAAAAGTAAGGTTTTATACTTAGGCAAAAAAAACCAAATGTACAAGTACAGAATAGGTGGAATAGCAGTAACTGTGACAGGGATCATGGAGTGCTAATGGACAATCACTTAAATATGAGCCAATACAATCCTAGACTGCATTAACAGAGGGATAGAATCAAGACCACATATAGTATTAGTACCACTTAATAATATCTTGGTAAGTCACAACAATATTAAAAAAATGTTGAGACTCTGGAAAGAGTGCAGAGAAGAGCAACAAAGATGATTAGAAGCTAAAACATGAAGGAATGGGTATGTCTAGTCTAATGAAAAGGACCAGGGTAACACAATAGCAGTGTTCCAATATTTGAGGAGCTGCCACAAAGAAGAGAAGGATTCAGCCTATAGCAACAGAAGGAGGACAAGAAGCAATGGATGGAAACTAACCAAGGAAAGAACCAACCTAGAACTAAGGAGAAATTTCCCAACAGTGAGAACAATTAACTAGTAGAATGCTTGCCTTCAGACGGTATGGATAATCCATCACTAGAGGTGTTTAAGAAAAGATTGGGCAGCCATTTATCTGAAATAGTTTAGGGTCTCCTGCTTGATAATCTGGTCCCTTCCAACTCTGTTATTCTGTTAATTATCTGTTCTGTTAAGTAGTGAAAAAAGTGATTGTGTTACCCTTGGATCTGTGATATCCAGGAGGAGGAACTGGAAAAAAAAAAAAGCAGACCTGCATACATATTAGACTTTCAGTTGGTCAGGGGAAACGTAAGTGAGATTCAATGCCTTGAAATCCTAAACAATAAAAACATTCAAAAGGGATGGGAGATAGGAAATTCTATAGAATGAGATATTGAAGAAGCCATCAGAAATTATTCCCATAAAGAATTCAGTTTGGATACATGCAGAATTTTATAAAATGTTGAAAAGCAAAAAGGGCATGCTTAGCCAATGAAAAGGGGATGATTACAAGGCAATTTCTAGAAAGGATCTCTATTAGATAAACTAAAGCTGAGAATGAGTTGAGAC